GGCGAAGCCGACCCTGCGAGTACCACTCCAGGAGTCGAGGAACCTGAACCACCTACGCCTGAGCTTGATCCGCAAGACTACAAGGATGGGGAAGGTCGTTCAGTATCCCCGACGAAAACATGGTCGCACTACCCGACATCGAATCCAGATACTGAAGAACGGAAAAGAGCTGCCAAGCGCAGTGGGCAAGGTACAGCAACCGCTTCCAACTGGAAAGCCGCCTATGACAACCTCAGAAGGGTCAGAGCACGCGCAGTGAGCCAAAAGGTGTGCTATTGTTGTGGTTCAAACCAACATCACCTGGCTATTTGTCCCAATACTGAGAAGAAGGACGAGTTGATGAACTCATTCTCTTACATGGAGGAAACTATGCGCAAGTGCTTCACCGAGGACGACAAGGCAATCATCCGACGTGATGTTGAAAGCCGAAAGAGGAAAGCAAAGTCATCCAAAGACGTCGAAGACGAGGACTACATGGATGTGGACGATGAAGATATTGAACTTCCCGAAGAAGAGCCGGAACTAGGAGGTAAGGTACCACCTCACTCTCCGAGAGCCAAAGGTAGACCACACTCGTCAGACTCTGCAAAAGAGGAATACGCGAAAGCGGTCGAGGCAACCAAGAAGGCCTTTGGGAACGCCAGTTTCGTCACCAGATTCAAAGAGCCCGTCGACCTCTTTGACATTGCCGATGACAAAGAAGGAGGAGAGTACAGGGTCGCAAATCACAGGGTTGATAGATCAGGTCCTGATGGAAAGAGGGAACTTGATGCACTTATTCAGGAGGCTGCAGCACTCGGAATAAAGATGCCCAAAGTGAAGGACCTTGCTCCTGACCCACAACAAGTTCAAAAGGCTGGATATCGGCAGATTGAGGTGACTTGCGATAGAGGAAGCATCGAGATCATTCCACAGTACGGAGTTACATTCTATGTGGAGTACTGGAATGGACCGAAGAGAGATGCAACTTTCACGGATCCACCAAAGATGAACCCAGCAACTCGCATCGACAAGTTCTGCGAGGAGAGTCAGAGGGTCAACGAGGTTAGCCATAGACTCAATAGACTACTCAGGCATGGAGTGGGAAAGCATAATGGGATTCAATCGCATCGCGGTCGAAAACCTCATGTGTCCCCGAAGTGCAATGAGGGTGGATGGGTGAACATCGATGAGATCCTGGAATATGACTATGTCTTCAACGATGGTGTCGATATCAGTACTATCTCAGGTGATCGGCATCGTCAAGATGTCAAGACAGAGCGATACCAGTATTTATGCAAGGCGATGTGGCATGCAAAGAAGTTGCAGAACAGAGTACGCTATCAGATTGCCGCCATTCGCATCTCAAAGGAGGATGTCTCACTCGAAGAGGAAAGGCGATACTGGGCAAACCTCATGTTTTACGGCACAGACGCACCGTCATTTCTGAAGCATGAACGTTGGATCGTTCCTTGTGCAATTCGAGCTGTTGCCTCTCACAATTCTGGAAGAGAGACTGTTCTTGAAGAGGATGTGTCAATATATCCTGTGTGGACTTCACATCTCATTCCAGAGAATGTGGCAATGCAGCTTGGAGGAAGCTTTCACATGACATCGCTTTCCAATATTGAGTCAATCATGAAACTAGGAATTGTCCCTGGTGGAACGGAGGGATATAGAGGTAGTGTTTTCTTCAACCACTTTGCGCCGTGGGATGATCGATCATCAAAGATTCTGAGATCAAGATGGCCAAGAGTGGGAATGCCCGTTTGCCTTTATGTTCCAATCATGACTTTGAGGAAGCTTGGGGGAAGAATTTCGGAGAATTCCTACACTGTTGTTTTTAGAGAAGTTCCATGGAGATGTGTACGAGGTGCTTGGTACTGGGACGACCACGTTCAGGCATGGAGGAGACTCCTGCTGGGAAGCACTGGAGAGCAAGTTGTTCTAGCGGCACGTCACGGACTTTGGGTTGCTCAGAAGCATACCATCCTCGAGAGAGCCGACGAAGTCACGAAGTCAGCCTCGGCGACAGATGACAACGTCCAAAAGCTCGTGTCCCTTATCGATGAAGTACGATTCGATGACAATGGAGAGCTGATCGAGGATTCCATCAGTGAGGAAACTTGGGACGAAATCATCTCCAGAACATGTGAAGGGTATCGCAACGTGGATGGCAATATTTTGTGTCCATCATGTATGCATTTGACTTCTTCATCTTTGTCCGTGTGTCTATCTTGTCAAGGCAGGCTACTCTCGTGTGGTATTCGCAACACTGTCATTTCCGATTCACCCGTTGATCTTGTGAGCGACGATGAAGAGGAAAAGAAGGAAGAGAAGAAGCCTGAACATGATGATCAAGATATATTGGACCAGGCCACTATGGACGAGATCAGAAAGGCTTGGGAAGAAGACATCGCTCAAACTGAAGCAGCTGATGACGACGAGGACATGGACAATCCAGATCCTTCCAAACCGTCTGATGGTGCAGAGAACTTCAAGAGTGACAATGTCGAGACCCCATCTTTCAATGAGGACGAGATCGACTACGGTCGTGATTCTGATCTAGAAGATGAAGACGAACGAAACGTGATCATCGAGATCCAGAGGAGCACACAACAATATGAGGGGAAGAAACGTCAAGATGGTGAGCCCGAGGATGAAGACGTCACCGACGACTTACATCCGGAGGCGAATCGACCGACAGATCGTGATGAACCGGGATACTATGCACAGCATGGAGCGACCGAGTTCAATCCCGAAGAAGGAAGAGACAACGAAGATCTCCCCATCTATTGTCGAGTACCGGAACCTCGAATCTATGCGCATCAAGAGAGAGCCTACTGTCAGGACGTCTCCATGAATGCATCGGGTTTGATAGATAGGTATGTGGTCAAATGTGTGCTGAACATGATCTCCCTGATGTACAAGAGCTACTATTGCACCAGCCTTACCGATTTCAAAGCAAATTGGAAAAGGAAGCGACTGGATGTGATAAGCAAGTTCGGTACAGGGGATTCCACTGAAATCGATGACGATGGGAGACCATTGGATCCAACAGATGACATGATGTTAATCTTTGCCAACGACAACAATATTACAACTGAGGAGGCCTGGCACCGATTCAGAGGAGAGCAATTCATTTGCAAGGTGGCACTCGTGATCCTATCATTTGGTCATACTCCGCAATCCTTCAAGGAGGAATATGGCAACTTCGAATACTCCACCAACTTGACTGATGCCCAGCTTGAGGAGTTGAAAGCGAAGAAAGCCAGCGCAATGACTGAATTGGTACAGAAGTGCATCCATGCGATTTATGGGTGTCGGACATATTCTTACTTTAGAACCGACATTACATCACCCTACCACAAGGTGATCGATCCTCTGGACATCATGTACTCGAGAATGAAGAGCAAGTGGGAGAAGTCTATTCTGTTGATCATTGATCAACATGAAATCAGGTTGCCCCCACAAGCTCAGGAAGTCATAGAGTCAATGGCCAGAAACCCCAACGTTGGACATACAGAGAGATGGATGAGCGTGGTAGAACATAAGCATGTTCAAGCTCTTACCAATCGTCTAGGCTTTGGAGATAGGGCCAAGGAGATTCAGGGCAAGAAGAAGCAGGCAGCCAAGGCAACAGCTAAGTCAACATCAACGACTAAGTCTGAAGCGAAAGCAGCATCTTCGTCAAGAGCTGAGGCAAAGCCAGCATCTACACCCAGAACCGAGGCCAAGCCGTCGTCAGCACCAAGTGAGGAGCCAAAACCTTCAACAGCACCTAAGAGTTTCGGACCCTCATCAGCAGAGGAGAACAAGGTGAAGGCTGCTCCAAAAGCCAGACCACATGATAAATCACCATCCAGTGCTACCGGTGTGTTTGAGCAAGCTTTGCAGGAAGATCTTGCCGCCAACGCACATGCGACAGAAGGTACAACTTCTTCATCATCCCGAGGACATTCCAAAGGAGGAGGCCAATCTGGAACATCTTGGAGGCCGGCGCTAACGCAAGAACGTCGCGAAGTACCTCAACCTTCTGAAAAGGGGAAGGGAAAGAGCAAGTCCAAGGGAAAGTCCAAGAAGGGAGAAGATGATCGGTGGGATGCTCAGGGTAGCTGGGATCATCGTGGATGGAGAGGTTATCACCAGTGGTGATTTCTTTGAACGACTATGAGGATACCATGCAAACCAGGGAGGAAGTCATTCACCGGATGTCTATCTGACCTGAAACGCTGTAAGTGTATCATTGCAAATCGTCAATCTGATTTGATACCATGAGCATAATGGAAGGAAGACAATCACCGACTGTCTCTCCGACTTGCCGTTCTGTAAGTGTATCCAAACCAAAACCTACATCTTTTGAGAAGTGTGAAGTCAGTTGCCAATGTGACATCTACGTGGAAGTCACCAGTTCGGATCTACATCAAAGCGATGCTCTTTTGAGTGGATACTGAGCGAGGCCTCGTGACTGTCTCACTTGTTCAATTCGATTTTTCAAAGGTTCTGAGCCATAGTTGCACACTTTATATGTAAAAGTCCGCTTTAGTCCAGCATGTTTCGTAGTATGAGCCTCATATGAGTCTCGCGGCAAATCATACAATTTCTTTATAGCACTTACATCCCTAAATTTTCGTGTGTGATCGGAACATATTGTTGCCGTTCACATGGGGGGTGCGAATGGAAGTGCAGCGACACGTACAGTGCAACTTGTACATACATATATACCATATGTACTTTGGCTCAAGGATCAAGCGACTAGAAAAGGTGCGGTTTCCGTTCCGACGCTACGCCGCTTATGGACCGTCAGTGATAGCTTCAAACTTCGCTGATTAAGATCCACTCGCAGTTTGGAAGCAGCTCATGGCTCATGATCAGCCTTAGCATTTCACGGAGACGGAGACGGGCGACACGATAAGAATCAGACGTTCATCCGGTCCTGAGTTAACAATGGACCATCTCCATGATGATTCCAACTTCATCTACTTTCCAATGCCTGTCTCCAAGTCCCACTCACGTGCCAGGGCAGCTTCCCCGTGGACAGATCCCAGGTCTGGTGCGCACCGGATGGAAGAGATGGCTTCAAAACATCCTCCGATCCAAAGAAGTGCGTCGTGACTTCATGACCCAGTATTCTTGGTGTTTGGGTCACAACAGAAGGCTCTCTTCTTTTTGGAGTCACGTGTTATAATTTGTCCTTGACATAGTGATGTAAAATCGCCTTAACAATTTCGGCTACCTTGCTTGAAGAGTTCGTAAGGTGAGGCAACCTCAGCCGGTTTGATGGAATCTTTAGATTCAGATTCCTTGGGAGAAGAAGCGCCTGAGTTGTCTAACGTCACACACACACACACTTCTCAGACGGAACTTCAATTGAAGCAACATCCGGGGTTCAAAAAAATTGAAGCCTACAATCAAACGGGTAAACGGCTACCAACCCTGCCAGCATTTCCCAAATGCCTCAAGTCATCTCATCTTTTCAGGCCTGCCAGGAGGGTTGCCTGGCGGCTTACCCGGTGGCCTTCCCGCTGCGCCTTTTGGGGACGCAGGCTCTCGGATCCCGCATCAGGACCGGGCCAGTGAAAATCACTCAAACGCCCATCTTGCTGGTGGAAGCTCCTTATTTTTTTGCAACTGCCTTCACTCATTGTGCAAGTTTGCTTGTCAGTTCCCATGCTTTGTTTGTCATTTTGGCCATTCCAAAGCCAGTTCTTCGAGCTGAGGACGCTGGTTCCCGCATTCCCCCACAGCAGGAGAGTGCTGGATGGGCTGGATCGGTGCAGTCAGGGGTTGTTGTGCATTGTGGAAGACTACTTCTCCATATGTTGGGGCAAACCACTCAAGAAGTGCCACAGATTTGCACGACAGTTGGACACGTCCAAACAAAAACACCGAAAACCACGAAAGACCACGATACGCAGGAAGCTCACATTTTCTAGATTGGAGGCTTTTGTGGAGAACAGATCTTTCTGCGACATGTTACAAAATCCAGTGGTCGCCAAAGAAGATCAGCGACGCTCTTGTTGGATCAATCCGACCGAGCGGAGGCTTTGTTCCCCAACCCGCTGGAGCCGCCTGGGTGTGGCATGAACTTGCCGGGCCTTCCACCGCCACTTCGAAATGAACACTGAACACCGAGCTGTGAGAACTCTCCTGTTTGGACGGACCTCTCCTAAGGGTGCGAAAAATACTCAAGTTCCTTTGATGAGGGTTTTCACTTTTGAGACGAGCTTGGCGTTGTGAGAAGTTACTCAAACTGTCAACCGTGGCAGGTGAAAACGTTGCTTCCAGGCAGCACCAGTGTGGGGTTGTCAGGTTTTAGTGTTCTGGCCACCCGAGGTTTCAAACGCCAACTCTGTTCTCAGGGGGACTGATCACAGCCTTTGCCTCAGAATTCACTCGAAGCATAGGTTGTTGAGAAGAATTGCATGATGATGTTCAATTTGTTCGAAAATTTCAGCAATCGCCCAACTGAACTGCATCTATCATCTTGCTTCCAGTCACATTTTCTGGCCTGGAACAACCTACAGAAGATTGAAAGCTTTCGAGAAGCTGTTGCTAGTGCGAGTGAGCCGGAGCCTCTCACCGATGTGGATGCTGTTGAGAGAGCCATCATATTTGGTATATTTATACAGTGGCTTTTGCTCCCCCTGAGTAAAACAGTTGCTGGAGTGGTGTCAGGGATCATTAGGCCTGCTCCCCTTAGAAGCACGCATGAGTCTGATACTTCTTCACGGCTTTTATCATCTCCAGTTCTTTGGGATCCTCCTACACCAAAGGAAGCAGACTTAGCGTGTGCCAAGTAGAGAGAGTGCCGAGGCCGGGGGCATGCTCTTGGCGCAAGGATTGAGCGCTTTGCAGCAACAGCAGATTCAACTCGCGCAGCAGCAGGAGCCACCTGGGGGTCGCACACGCGGTGGTCACTTAGGAACACGACTGACAGAGCGATCCTTGAGTTAAGTGCCGGGGCTTTTTTGGGAGCACAACTATTGGAAAGGAGACAGCAGTTGCCAATTCCTGGTCAACAGACTGCCACAGCTGTGGGCTTCCTTGTTGACCTCTTCTCCTTCAATGTCCGCACTAGAACTTGCCAAGATTCAAGACGCAACAACCGTCTCCCACAGGTTGAGGCATTTTCTGAGGGGTGCCCGGTGTTGCAATCTGATAAAATACAATTCCCAAATCTGGGTGCAAAACCCCCAGCGCAAGCCATGGTTGCCAGAGTGCCATAGCAGGAATGTAGGCCGTGGCTTACGGCCAGTGGTGCCCAGTCCACCGCACTGACAGTTCCAAGCACGCCCACGTCGAAGAAACCCTTGGTGAGGAGCAACTGGAGCGCTTGCGAATGCAGTTGGGATCGCACCTTGCCAATAAACTGGTGGCCCTGCCAATGAAAGAATCTTCAAGATTGGGTATTAGTCCCAAATGACTGTTGATGGAGAACTCCCACTATTTATTGTGCTTGTACCATGGTATATTCTCCTGGTCCATCAACAGCGGAACGGTGGTTTGGCAAAAGCCCAGGCTCTCTCAGTTCAACTACTTTCATTTGCTGAGAGATGGTTTATCTTTTGTGGGTGCTTCTACGGTTTGTTTCATCATGTTCTAGGGGCTGTCAATGTTCTAGGGGCTGTGTGTGGTACGCGGTAACGCATCCTTTGACTTGTGTGTGTGTGTGTCTACACCTGTACCAAAGGACACCTTTCCATTCAAGCTAATTCGTTCTCTGAAGTACTTTCTTAAACTTTTCAACCCATAGGCAGAGGCGTGCAGCATCTGTGATCTACTGCGCGCAACAAAGCTAAGATCACAGATGGGAAGGGATCAAGGACGCTTGATCCTGTACCTGCTCGACAACACACTGACTCCACTGGTCCACCCTCTCGCAGGCTGTTTGCATTCTCCCATAGAGTGCCAGTCAGTCTTTGTTACAACATTCGGTTGATGAGGACTTTGCCACCTTTCCGTTCTGCAAGTCAAGGTCTAATGCACCGGTATTGTATTCACTAGAGTGGATTGCCTTAACTGATTTAGCTCTTGCGAGCATCAATCTAAGTGTGTTTCGCCACAGAGTCCCACTGCGGGCTGTGGTGTGATCCCCAGCGAGGGGCGCAGCATGTGCACATGCCCGTAAAGGGTGACCCCCGGTCTTGTCCTCTTGATCTCTACACGATCCTCGGCCCTGCACGAGAATGCTGATCATATGCCGCAGGGCTTACTGAGATCGAACTCCAGAACGGATTCTTGCATGCGGCTACGTAATCACATGTCCACGCCGTGCTGCTAGGTACATGCGGCTAGGTAATCATAGACCACGGAATTGCTGTTCAATGAGCACTCACTGCACGCACACTGCCCTACTTTCCATCCTTCTGTTGACGCCATGAACTACCCTTGGCAAGCTCCCGCTGGCTCCACCGCGCCACCTCCAGTGGCCTATGGTCCTCTACCTGCGTTACCAGTTCACTACGCGGCCACGCAATCTTAGCCACACTTCATTCACCAGACACCTCAGCACCTCACCCATTCCCACCCTTACCAACTCCATCCCCCGCAGATGAACTATCCTCAAACACTATCCCACTTTGGCGCCTGCTCCACCGTCATGCCGACAACACACGATGTTCCAGTGCTACCAGCCTGGGCTACGACACAGTATTCTACACCACCTACCCTGCCGCCACATACCATGTCCAATCCTCACCCTGCCAATCTGCCCAATCACCACCACAATCTTCACTGCTGACAGCACCAGGCCCCCACTACCCCACATCACCCCATTACAATCAGCGCCAGCCACCACCACGCCAAGATTCTTCTTGGCCTCTTCAACAACAACCACCACCGGACCCCACCAGTTGCCCCTAGCGTGACGCCACCTCCATCCTCTCATCCTGTACCCATCCCCCGTCAACCCTCTCGGAGGCTCCCACACACACGTCCCCACCTCAAACCACTCCTCTTCACCGGCTGCCACCATACGCACTCAGCTGACCACAACACAGCCAGAGCCATCACAGACTACACCAGCCTCAGCTCCCACCAACCCGGACCACCCAAATCTCACAACTATCGCAACGGCTCCACCGCCTTCCACTACCATTATCAGTGTACCGGTCCCTCGCCCTCACCCACCTACACATGGGACCCTCCACTTTCACTTCTATTTGACATTCTTTTGTTGGGACATCATTTACAACGCAACTGCTTAATTGGATATTGGTTTTACTTTGTCTGGCAGATTGCAGAAGAAACCAACAGTACCATCACCAGACACATTAAACGCGCGGCTTTACACAAACGAAAAATACAAAATGATTGTCACTGAGGAATCAAGAATAGATTTTTTGTTGCTGTAGCACGTTCACGGTTTCACATGTAGGTACTGTGGTGTAGATATATGATATATATATATATTATATACTCGCCAGTATAGTTTGCATGTATATACATATGTATACAGTATATACATGAGGTCCCGCCAATCTCGGTACAGTCCTTCAAATATATTCCGGACACACGTAGGGGGTGGCCTTCACTACACTTACACTGCGGGGAATATTCTATTCGTTGTTCTTCCACTTGGTTGAACGCTGCTCCTTTGTTACGTCTTTTTGCGGTCTTGTGCCCTTTTAAGCCAGACTTTCATGATATAATGCGTGATACTTTCTTCAGGTAGATTGTATCGGTATATATCGATATGCTCTTTACAATACTTACCCAGTGTTCATATATATATATATGTATGCAAGTGTGGTGACTTGCGAGGCGTTCAAATTTTGAAACTGAACAGCAAGCATATTACATACTGTACAGTTTGGATTATATTTGAAGGATAAGGCGCAATTACAAAATTGATATACAATTACAGAATGGAGCTTCTTTTACAACACCACCTGTTCAATGTATGAAGCCTACTCTAAACTGAAGCATGCTGGTATTACAGTGTATAGTGTTAAGATTGATGCTTTCACCATCAAGGCTGAAGATGAACAAAGCCCCAGGGAATTATTTGACTTTATTGATAAGATTGGAGGTTGGAGAGATCAAGTGTGCGGATATCAACTACCTAATAAACTTTCCATTACCAAGTTGTAGAAAATAAACTTGTAAAAATACAAACCGCTAAGAATAGATAAAATTCAAAGTGATGACTGTGATACTGATGTTTTGTTAGTAACGTTGAAAAAGTGAAACAGTAAATGATTAGCAGACTATTTGCAGGAGCAGGCAAAAGTCATATTTGCAAGAAACTGGTTGGCAAAGGCTACACCATATTATTTGTATGCCATACTAATGGGTTATTAGACAAATTTGAAGGTGATGTCATAACAATAAGCAGGTTTTTTGGTAGAAGTTTTGGTGATGTTTAAATAGAACCATCTGATTATTCAGAATTTGATCAATTCTATTTCATCGGCTCGAGTGTCTGTTGGAAAACCAAATAGTTTGTTTGTTGAGGTCTTTTTGTTTGCAACAGGTGGTACCAAACAAGTAAAGCCAGTTCAGGAACTGACAAATACCAAAGACTATGAAATATATATATATATATGCTGATGCAATGATTGACATATGTTTGGGCATCATATATTGTTGAAAGTTTATAAGAGACTGAACGCAGAAGAGGGTGAACAAAAGCTGAACAAAATCAAGAACTATATTTAGATAAATATTTGTAAACGTCGTCAACATACAACATAGCATGTTTGAATAAGACCTGTAAACACGTATCAAGTGAGACTAAGAAACTGGAAAGCAGAAACAACATGAATATGACGTAGGTAAATTCTTGATACGCAGGGAATATACCAAATCAAAAACAAGTGTCTTCAATGTAAATGTCACCAAATTGTTAATCACAGTATTTCCTTGAAGAAAAGAACACAAACAACGATACATGCTTCGAGAATTAGCGATTGACAACGCAAGAAACAAACTTCATACTTGCTTGGTGTTCAACTTGCCATTTTGCTTAAGGCCCATTTTGCATTGTTTAATTACAACCATGTTCTTCTATAAAATTATCCTGAATGGGTTTGGACAGCCTTTTCAAAATATGGTCAAATTCTCTAGGTATAACAAAGATGCATTACAAGCGATTTTGAGAGAACGATTGACAACTACAACAAGCATAACAAAACACAAAAAAGAAAAGTACGAAAACATGATATGTAATTGTTCAGTGTATCTTGGATAATTTCATCAATTCGTGTAATTATTGTGGATGTGGATTTCATATTGATATGAAAGGTTTGTTATGAATATTTCAACTTGCCAAAGAGTTTCTTCTCTTGAGTCTCACTCACTGGACAATAATGTGCCTTACTGTTGTAGATGTAACTGTAGTTGTAAACAATGTATGTTTCAAAACTTGTTTCAAGGAATATGATATAGACAGTATGGTAGTTAGGATTAGTACAGGTAGTATGTTGTAGTCAGTCCCGGCTTCAAACAATGCTGTATTGGTAGCACTATTGAAGGTTGGCGTTATGGCTTTGAAATTGAAATGCTGCAAATGATCAGGCGCATCAGAAAACATTGTTTATACACATTTGTTGTGTTTGTGCAGTAAACTACCTCTCAAACAAAACAAACAAACAACAAACACAAAACAGAAAAACATGTTTTCCAAACTAGTCTAAACCTTTGTAGGATGAACATGGTGTCCAAATAATATATGTTTGTTGGTTTGTTTGTCTCTTTTGGTTTCTTGGTTCTAGGATTGGGCATCATGTCCAAATTGTTTTTTTGGTTTCCCGTTTCTAGGATTGGGCATGGTGTGATATGAATATACCAAGTGCATATCCTATATGTCCTTCATATCCAGTTTAAAATGAACTATGTCCTGTTGGCACAATTACAATTTGCATTCTATGTATGTCCTAAACGCGGCGTCAGGCCTAAATACGTATACAACATATATATATATATTTTTTTTTTTGACGCCATGCCCTACATCTCTCCAAGTGTTCTTTCACGTACAGCCGCACATCCGGCTTTCTTTTCAAACCCAAGAGCAGAACTCTCTACAATCCAAATTGCTATAGTTTTATGTGGTTTTTGCGATATTGGCAAAGCATCTATATATATATATATGTAGAATCTAGCTAAATAAGTTTTGACATTGCAGTTGATTGAAAAGCACGTAGAAAAATGGTGTGATCTGTATATATATGCGCATATGTATTGTGAACAACGCATAAAAAAGTATGATTTGTTGATTTGGTTTGATTGTTTTGATCAAAAAGCACAGATCAAATATAAACAAAGTCATAGTCCTATTCAACTATATGCCGTAACTTCCCATTAGTCGTTTAAACATATCCTATGTCTTGGTTGAATGGTAGAGTTTATTCGCTTGGTTATTAGGGGCGTGTCGCATTATACCAATTATTCCCTGCCACCCCCCTACCCTCCCCCTCTTCCTTCTTTGCCTGTTGGGGTGTTCCTGAATGTAACACTCAGGTACACCCCTCTCACTGGTGTGTCCCTGGACGCTTGCTCGTAGCTGGGAACACCTGTCCACTCCCTTCTCTTTTCCCTCTCTCTCTCTCTCTTTTTCTCTTTCCTTTCTTTTCTCTCCTGCTTGTTTGGGTGTCCCTGGATGCTTTCGTCATAGCTGGAAACCCTTCTCTTTTCCTCTTGGTGTGTCCTTGGACGCTTGTGTCGTAGCTGGGAACACCTTCGTTTCTTTTTTTTGCCTTTTCTTTCTTTTCTTCTCTCCCTACCCCTCCCTCCCTCGCGCGCAACGTGTTTACATACAAACGAGGCTTGCGACAGGTCTTCAATGAAATGAGGTTTGGTTTCATCGGCTTCTGTCCCCTTCATTTGGTTCCCCCTTTTTCATCCTGTTTTCCCCTTCGCACACCCTTTTCTCCTCTTTTCTTTCATGTCTCCCTGTCTTCATGTCTTGTCATCGTTTGCGCACACTTCGGTCCTGGCCTTAGTGTGTACACGCACATCTACTTGTACTTTAGACCCAGGTTTCAGGTCGCCCAGGTTTGACAATGAGGTGGGGTCCCTGTGCACTTGGTTCCCTTTCATCGCAACCACGCACACTTTTGTCCTGTCTTGTCCTCTCTTCATGTCTTCATCTTTTTGTCTTTGCTGCGCGCACACGTGCACATTTGTCCTAACCTTAGTTTTTGAGGGGAGGCGTGTGTGTGTGTGTAACCCTTGGAGTCACAGGCATCGATTTGGATTATAAAGGACGGGGGCAACAGCCAGCCTTCTTACGTTGCCCAACGAAGCTACAGAAGACTGGTGGAAGCATTCAGAGATGCCTGAATGTGTGCCTGCATAAGACTTCTTGTGTGCTGCAGACCTGCGCGCTACATCGTCACTTGTCGCCTCGGGATCGGCTTGAGCTTTTGGCCCCACTTCCATTTGAGGACCTCCAGGCTTCTTTGGTTTCACTTGATCTGGTCAGAATTTGGGTACCCAGGTTGGCGTGTGGCAACTGCTTTCGAATAAGTATGCATTTGCATAAGTGTGTGTCGCTTTGGCAAGCGGAGCCAACCTCCCTGTGTTCTTGACCAACTTGGGGATTCTTCAGACACAAGTCGGTGACTTGAAAGACATGCAGGGCGGATGACACTGAGTCCATTGGCCGGAAGAGACAGGAGACAGGTTGAGGCAAACCTGAACAACACCGCCTGTTATAGTCATGAGCTACCACGTTGTTCCGAACTCTCGCAGCTTCTGAGGCAACAAATAGGCATGATGGGACAAGCGCAGGCACGGCTCATCTCACGCCGATGTATGAGGTTGCACAACAAGCTAAAGTCTCAGAATCTATGTCTGGCACTGGCAAATATAAAAATCTCCATAGATCCCTTGGAGTATCCCCCGCATCAGCAGTCCCAGACCTAGCAACGACCTTCGGCTGACTGGCTAGGATCCCTTCATGCCTTACGGGCGTGGAACCCAGCAGCTTGTGGCTAGCACCGGCGGACTCACTTTCCTGTGGCTGTTGTGTGTGGACTTGCTCGACAGGTATGCTGACATGGGCAAAGGCAAGAGCAACTTCTGAGATTTAGGGGTTAAGGGCAGGAACTGATACATGATACCTTCAACCGACAATGGAAACACAAACACGTCCTGCAAGTTCAACGCAGGTGGTCGGCAATCGCGGAAAGGTGCTCCTTCTTAGTTATATATACTTTATCCAAGAAAAGTAAGTATGTGATGCACAAACAAAGCCTGCATCACGCAGAGTTGAACATTCTTGAGGCTCAAAAGTTGCTACTGCAGTTCGAGGACCCTGTGACCCTGTTGTTTGAGTCAAATCTGTTTACCTCAAGCTCTCACAAAGGATGCGCTTCTTTGCATTTGCGTGCAGGAAAAAGGAACGAAGAGGAAGTAGGCACGCTTGCTGCATGACATAATATGTATATATATATATATATACTCTGAGTACCGGATTTCTTGGGTTCTTGGGTCTATTTCATCAATTTGGCGCAGGTCGAAAGGTTGAGAAGGGTGGAGGCTCGCAGAATATCACCTGGCCACCACTCATACTCGCATGCTGAAAAAAACGTGGCGGATTGCAGGTCAAGATGACTCAAAGGCGCCTCTTCCGCGCTCTTCCACCAGGGATGAAAACTTGCATTTTTGTCTCAAAATGAGGGACCTCCGAGCCACCTCCTTTGGAAAGTGGTTAAACTGGATGTGTTCATGGCACAAACAAAGTCATTGGCTCGAAGTCCCTCACCTTGAGACAAACACCATTCTCTTTGGCTTTTTGTAAGACTACTGTTCTGGCGAGCGATTTTAAGCATGTGCAGGAGAAGAACAAGGTGCCACTGAGTGGGGGCGGCCCCAAGCGCACAGACTACATCAAAAAGTACACTGCTGAGATTTGACAAAGTTTTGGGGTCAGAGCCGCCCTCATTGACTAAACCGGATTGCCTTCAAAATCTTTTTGGACTAAATTGAAGCAGCCTTGCGAAAGCAATCCTGACAGGGCTTTTACACAGGGTGCAGATCTGTCATCCAATTGCTTTCGGTGATGAGATCTGGTCATCCAAGTTCGGCCTCGGTTCGCCAAAGCCCAAAGACATCGACAGCCCCGTGGAGTCCGAGGTTTGGCACAGGTGAAGGACCGGCCTCTGAACCTAAGACTCAGCCCATCACGTAACTTGGCTGCATTTGATGTCGCCTTCAATAACAATGTGATAGTGTGGGCAGCGGTGAACAAAATGCTTGTCCTAGGAGCAAAGACGCTACTAGGGGCTCCTGGCCTTACTACTAGGAACAAGGACGCTACTAGGAGCAAAGGGCATCGATACTTTAACCCCCTTTGCATCACATGACTCCTGTGCAGAGGACACTGCACGAGGACATCACACATGGAAACACGCCCACGTACACACACACACACATGCAGGACTCTTGTTGAGACAGCTCCTGCCTTTTTTGAGTAAAGCCCACCAGCGACAAGGACTATGATGCTGAAAAACATCCCTTGTCGCAAGAGCCAAGAAGAGGTTCCGCGCAGTTTGATTCGGATGATTTGCCTTGAGGGATCAGGATTGAAGCACAATGGTTGCTCTTGCGCTAGTGATGAAGTGTGTGAAACTGGAGTGACACCAGCCCAAAATCTTTCATGAGCGTGTTTTGTTCTCCACCCAGAATCGCATGGGCTAAAGCAGCCTGGTTGGAGTGATAAGAGCCCAACTAGACAAGTTACCCTGCTGTAGCAAATCGGCTCTGAACTGTTCCACTGGATGTTTGGGAGGCCGTGCCGCCCGCGTTCAATCGCAGCCAGGTCATGGGAATTATTGATGATGAAGGCTTTAAGGGCCAGTGCGCCAAGGGTAATTGTTTGGAGCAGAGGTGGACCAGTGTAGGTGGTGTCATCAGCCCCTAACAAAGGCCAAAGGAAGGCCAAGGCGCGTTCCTTCCTTGTAGCGTCCTTGCTCCTAGTAGCGATGCCAGGAGCCCCTAGTAGCTTCTTGCTCCTAGTAGCTTCCTTGATTGCTTGAGGATGTTTCTTCACTTGTCGGGTGTTGAGACAATTTGATCAGTGTTTGCTCCGCTGTGGACCACCACTGTAGGGGTGGTACCCCTCCATCCTCAGCTATATCCAAACATATCCAAACACATATAACACATATACGTGTTCTTGGGTGGCCTGGGCGAGGTACGACTTTTTCTACCTGCCACGTGATGTGAAGTTTCGAGCCAACCTGGGCTATGCCTTCATCAACTTTGTGACGCCTGAGGAGACTATGATCTCCGGTGCTGAAGCACTGGAACAAGAAGCTACTAGGAGCAAAGGGCATCGCTACTAGGAGCAAGGACGCTACTAGGGGCTCCTGGCCTGGAACAAGGACGCTACTAGGAGCAAAGGGCATCGATACTTTAACCCCTTTAGGATTGGTGAAAACTAAATTTGCTCCGCACTTCAACTGCCTCCCGTGTATTTTCAGAGGACGCAGCGGCATTTCAGGGCAAGATGGATGGCTACCAATTTCCGAATTCAGGTTCTGCCAAGGCTGGACAGGGAAGCCTGACATCATTGAATCATGCATTGAATGATTTAAATCACTTGGCGTGGCTGCGAGGCCTGTAATGTGGTCCCTGCACACGTGCAGGCGCGATGTCGCAGTTGGGTAGGCATGGCAGATGGTGCAGCGGCGGGAATGGGATTTGTCAGCTTTTCAGAGTTGGTTGCTGACCTTAGAGATTTTGGCTGATTGTCATTCAATGCGAAACCCCAACCCGAACCTGGCTTGCGGGTTGTGGAAGATCGCCAACCCTGGCTGGGGAGGCTGCCCTTGTAATGCACCCTATCCCTGTGCTGGTGGAAGTTGGCTTTGCCAGGGAGCGGTGAACAATCTCCAAGCCTTCAAGCGCACAGAGGTGATGAGAAGCAATCGGAAACCGTGCGCAACCTGCGAAACAAGTGCTTCATTGTGCGTTGGTTGGGTCACAGTGTTAGCAGATGTGCCTGAATGTGTGAAACTTCAAGAAACAGGATGCTAGAGATTTATTGCTAGAGATTTAGAGTATATACTGAGGGTTCGGCTTTGACATTGAGCAGTGATACTGAGTGCACTGCTTGAGATGCTTAGTATTTCATGTATTTCCATGTCACAACCTCCCGCTCAGGTACTTCTCCAATGTAGTGGCAATGTGAAAGGCTGCTCTCCGAGAATGGCAGTGCAGTAGCTGGATAAACTCGCATGCGCGAGGCACGCTCCGCTCCAGTGTCCAAAGGAGTCACTGGATCGCCCGTTTTCGTCTCATCATAGTGAAGATACCGTTTTCGGCCGGCGCGATTTTACACCTTTCATCGGGTGAGTGGTGATTGTGGTGCCGTCATTATGATTCCAGATGGGTGTGGGTCAAACAATTGTCAAAGCAAAACAAAACTCCGGTACCTGTATTTGTGTGGATTTGTTCATTCCAGCGGAGCTGTTTAGGCTTTCAAACCTTTGACTCACATCCAAGGACACCACAATCCACGTGTTCAGAACGTTCGTTTCATTTCTCCTCGTTGTTGGCATCGCCCTCCCCGCTCCCGCGCCGACTGCTCTAGCGGCACCGCCCAGCACCTGCCTGGATGAAGTTCACCGGTGGCCTTTCTCTCGAACTGATTTTCACATCCCATCAGCGCCACTTGCATTTTTCCGAGCGAAGGTTTGAGAATCAGGAATTCATAGAATAGCCAACATCATACTATCGACATAATTGCATGTTCCGATTTATATGTTGCCACGCTCTGGTTCATTGAGCTGACTTCCGAAGTAGCCCAAACCCAGCAAGTGGCACTGGCTGACCTTTCTAGCCACCAACACTGCGGTGGAGCTGACCAAGGCCGAAATCAGAACATCCAGAAGTTTGTCCAGAAGTAAGTCATTCGCAATGGACAATGTGTTCGCGAGGGCCAACTTCAATTGCCTCCTTTGGGACCTCACGACAGTCGGCCAAGATGGATCAGCTGCCCCGGACCCATGGGCCAAAACCTCTGCCAATGGGTGGGGCGATGGAAAGGACGCCTCAGTTCTGAGGACTCATTGCCGCCATTTCGAATGCTGTTTTAGTGACTGAGAAAAGAGGCACAGCTGGTGTCGGTTGGGGATGACCACAGGCATGTCTCAACAAGCACAGCATGGGATGAGCATTAAGAAAGAATACTTGGGAGTGTACAGGCAGCAGGTTGGAATGTCCAGGCCAAATGTCCCCTTCCAAGTGAGAAAGTTATCAGGGACAGTGACTGAGTGTTAGAGAAAAAGCAGGAAGCTAGTTTGGGAAATCCTTAATAATACTTGAGGCCAGCAATGGATTCACGCTTTGACCTTGTGTGTGTCACATCATGTCACACCCTTTGCTACCAGTTGGACCCGTTGAAGACAATATCTCTTTACGTCGTTGACGGTTGCTCGGTCTTTGGTGCAAGAGGGATGAGGACTACTACTAAAGGTGGCAAGCACTGCCACAAGCTTCGTGCATCGCTTTGTGGAGCAGCATGGGAGGTTAGATTCTTGACATTCTTTAGACTTAAGTAACTAAAATACTTATTCTATAATCTTATATAAGTCTGATCGTCATGACAATTTGTTGGCGGCACCTCACAGTTTCACTTGCTATGAAGTGTGCGCTGAACATCGGTGTTTGTCACCTTTGACTCCGCAGGAAGTTAACATTCCGGAACCAAGCTATGTGCAAAGTGCAAAAAGCAGCTTACCAGTTTAAGACGTCCTAGAATGGTTGGCTGCCACCTTTGTGCTTGGCTACTGAGGGCAAATAGAAGGAACCTAGATCAGCAGAAGCAACACCTGATTCTTTGTTAGATGATGTCGCTTGTGGGCGGTAGGGCTGTGCCTTGCGGTGCCTTCACATCAGGCCCTGAAAGAGCAGCTTGAAAACTGGGGCGTTGCGATTTAGATCATTACCTCTAGAAGCAACTCTAGGATACTTTTGGGGATATGTTCGATCAAGTTCGTTTGAGACACATGATTCCATCCAGAGTTGTTCTTGTGAGGATGGCCTCGGGAGCTGGCAAAAAGGCAGGGAGCCCCTCCTGCCAGCAGTGCCCAGAACTGCCTAGCAGTGCGTGCAAGCACGGCACATTCTATTTCCTTTTGAATCCTTCAAGCAAGTGGGGCACTGGATTTGAGGGAAGACGTACTGTGACTCACAGCCGAGTCAAATGAATCCTTTTGTGGCCAAACCTTCCGAGACTTGCACATTGGTGGTTTGCAATGTCTTGCAACTGATCAGGTCCTTCTCAGAATCAGAAAGGTGGCCACCCAAAGATGGCGACTGTTGCTACTCGTAGTTTTCAACGTTGAAGCTTCCTTTTCTTCTAAACAATAGAGGACGAAGTGAAGGAAGAATCACCTTAAGGGGAGCAGAGTTGACAATGCCGCTTGAGATGTTGGCTCTTTACCATTCATCTCACTCTTGCATTCATCCCAAGACGCACCGCAAAATGGCCGGATAGGTAGAGAAAATGCTCGTTCTCTTGGTACGGATTAAAGCTAGCAATGATCGCTGACGATATCCCTAGCAGCCCTAACATCTAACAGCCAAAATTAAATTGCGAGGTGAAGTGACAGTAGCTACTAGGAGCAAGAAGCTACTAGGAGCAAAGGGCATCGCTCCTAAGAACAAGAAGCTACTAGGGGCTCCTGGCCTTACTAGGAACAAGGACGCTACTAGGAGCGTAGCTTCTCTTGGCAACCATGGATTTGGTGCGTCCGAGGCACGGAAGCAGAAGGAGACTGAGGCCGAGGCGCCGGGCGGTGCGCGAACAGGTTTGACCAGGGATGTCTTCAACATGTTTCTGCTGAACTGCACCAGAGGTGCACCAGGATTCTTAGAGGGAGCTATTGGAGCTCCTGATTTTGGCCTCAACCCTTCACCAGGTTGTGAAGAGTGGTGTTTGAGATCTTTTGGACCCACAGCCCGCACCTGTCAGGAAGCGCCAGCTTTGAGTGCCTCCGCCACCGCTGCAAGGCTTCCAATGGTCCACCCCTGCCCCAAACCACCAGGACTTGGCGTTGGACAAAAGAGTTCCTGGAAGCCTACCACATTGATGTTCAGTTGATTAGTTGATGGAAGACTAAGCATGGATACCATGGGATTGCACTTGAAGCCCCAGGGCGTCTCGCATGGAGTATCAGCAATCTGGCAAATGCTTCTGGGTTTTCACAATGGTCACGTCAGGCACTTGCAAAACCTGCGCCGGAAGTCGGAGGAGCCTGGTGCGAGTTTGGCAAAGGAGCCTGCCGAGCAGCTGGGAAGCAAAGGGCTGGGGCGGGATTCAGCCTTTAAGAAAACAATGCAAGCAATGTGTAGGAGGGCAGGTTAACCTTCTGCAATGATTGTCAACACTCGGCAGATCGGAATATGGAATCCAAAAGCACTTCTATGACCGGATTTTCTTTGAGGCTGATGCAGCTCAACCAGATTAGTATTCTTGGCAGCGCCGATTTCTACTCTGACTCTTTATATCAATCAAACATTTCAACCCGACGTTCATTGTTGGATGGGCTGCCTTTTCAATCCCAGGTCAGCCGAAGCGATTCCGAAGTCGAATGTCAGCTCCTCAGTTGCTGTGGCTCAAAGCTTAGAGGCTTCGGTGAGCATTCCTTTGTTCATTCTATTCGTTTGTGGTTGATTAGGCATTTGAGGATCTTGCAGAGATACTTTGGACACAGACCAGACCAGCTCATGAGCGCTTAAGGCCGCAGAGGAGGCTCCAGTGTCAACTGGGAGCAGCGCGAGCCCTCCAAAGGCCACGAAAGACGATTTACATCAAAAACAGGAATCAAGCAGTTTGTTAGCATTTTAAACACTCAAATTTGGAAAGTGTCTCTTTGAGTATCTTGAAATTGGAAGTACCCTGGTTTCAGACACGAGATATGGTTTTGCAATGTTTTGCCACTTGAATATAAATGCTTTAGTCAAGATGGCCTCAGGTTGGGAACTAAGACAAGGGAACATAATAAGTAAGACGTGCCCGGTGCGGAAACATTTTGTAAGCGTGCGAAATATGGTGATGCGCAACGGCTATGCATTTTTGTTGTTTGCATTTAGTGCTGAGCAGCAGGTCAATGAACTCCAATGGGCATCATGACTTAAATGGTAGGTTCGGTTGGTCGCGCACCCGATCTCTTCCACAGAATCAATGAAGCTGCTACTTCTCTGCTTTCGGGGCCTTCAAAAGTGTCAGCTGCTGCAGAATCACCTTTGAAGTAGCTAGCACTTGAGGGGAGAGGTGTTCATTGGCAGCAGGCGAGCTGGACACCTCAGCTGGAAGCAATCCTGAGGACGAATTGTGTCAGATGTTCTTTTTGGCTTTGATCTTCAAGTCTTTGTCCTTCAAAACTTAGCGTCACATGCTGCTGAATACTTCGAGTCAGGTTGGTGCATTAAATCTTTCAGCTACAAAGTGATTGTGTTGAAAACAGTGAAACTGTCTTTACAGAATGCTAGTTGTGCTAATTGTAACGTATTGCATTTCGTGCATTCTTGAAAAGCACTTTAACTGGGAAGCTCTTTCAGAGCAGCGAATCCGATTAAAAGGCATTGCACAGAAAAGACGGCGTTTGCGACCGGACCAAGCCAAAGGCTTCGTTCGAAGTCTTTCTTTTCCTGGCAGGACATCGATGATGATGGCATTGGCCTCAGTAGTTTCTCCGTCCATTGCTACTCTTGGATGTTTGATCAACTGCGCTGTTTGACTCATCAAAATCTTCTGAGGTCTTGCTCAAGAACTTCAGCTTATTCCTGCTGTTGGACGCTTTGTTTAGCTTCAATGTGTCTTAATCGAGCTGTTTTTTTCATGGCTCAGCTGATCGAACCTTAGCCCAGGCTTGCGCCAACTGCTGTGGGCGAGTGCCAGTCAGCCTCCCAACAAACCAAGCCCAAGAAAGAGAACGAACCAAGATCTTCTGAAACTGAGAGAGCCTTGAAGAGGGGAACTTGCGTGCGTAGATGAGGAAAGAGACCAATCATACCAAGTGTCAACGACCACAGTAGTGGATGTTTCCGTGGCGCCAAGGGAGGAGCGACTCTGCATGCCAGTGGTCAGCATGCTGATCTTGGTTCTTCACTGAGAATGGGAGATGCATTGAAAGGAGTTGCGACCGTGTGTGGCCAGATTTGGAATGGAGCATCAGCATTGGACACTAAGATCTTGTTTCGGCTGTGTCTTATTTTAGGCCCAACTTTTTGTCACATTGCTTCAGTCAAGAGCCCTCCCCTGGTCTCGTGCTGTGCTAAGTTCATCGATTTGTCTGTCTGCACTGGGCACTTGATGCTTGGCTTCTTTGACCCGGCATACAGGCCAGATGCATGTTGAACTTGACAAAAAGCAATCCACCAAGCTCAAAGTTTTGTAGGCAAGA